ACTAAGGCTGTTACTATATCAAAAAAGGAATGAAATGAGTGAACGTACTTTGCTCTCTCCATCGAATCCAGGCAAACCACGGTCACCCTTAATTCCAGGTTTTCCTTCGGGACCGACCGGTCCCATTGGACCTGGAGGACCGGGTGGTCCCGGTGGTCCATGAATCATCAGCGGTGCGTTAGGCATGGCTGATCCAACCTGAATATGTCCAATTAGGAAAAAAGTTGAAGTAGGGACAACACATTTGACTTCACAGTCCAATTATTGATTGATTGTCCTCTTAAGTTCGAGTTGACTCAATTGTATTGTAAATTAATCATTGTTCCACCACAAAACCACAATTAACCGATATTCGAGAGCTGGTCAGCCGTTTGTGAGAAAAGTGACAGGGATGCAGGGGCCACTCTGCATCTCTGCGCTCAGGTGACCAGTTCTCCAACATTTTACAAACACATAAAGGAAGCATGCTGCCAACACAACAACTTCGTTACTTTATATTCGTTGTAAAGATGACTTTCTGACTGATTCAATGCCTGCCAACCATCCGGTGAGTCGGCCTGGCAAAAAATCACGAGAGAAGGAATAACAAAGAAATCTCCACAGCAAGAACTCAAAATAACAAAAAAGTCTATCCACAACCGTGCCGCAATCTGCGGATGAACACGCCCACACGACTCCACAAATCGAGACTGAAGCTGCTGAACCCTATTGCTTTGGCATGGAGGTGTCCAGGCAATAGCGGCACGGTCGTTGTGCTTATACTGTGTGAAATTCAGAATCTAGTAAGACAACCTCCAAATTGTTACCTGTATTTGACCATGAATAGGTCCACCACGATCACCTTTGGGGCCCGGATATCCGGGTGGTCCAACAGGACCTCGATCACCACGTTCACCTTTGACTCCAGGGCTTCCCTACAAGTAATGGAAGTAGATTATGGTAGACATTCAACGAGGACGAGGACGAGAATCGACTGCACGGCACACTTCATGATGACAATGTGAGGATATCGACTGTCTCCGGTACTCGAAAGGTGTAAGATCTATATAGAATCTGAAAAGCCAAGATGATCTATTTTGCTATGGCTAGCCGATGACTGTCGCCTTTCAATCGATTCCAAAACTTTTATGCAAAACCGAACTCATGGCCCAAGCTACCGTAAACATTCGATTGCCTCACATTACCATCACCTTCGCAAGCATATCGATAACCTACCGGTAAGCCTCTTGGGCCATCCAAACCTATAGGACCCTGAAATCGTGAATTATTCACAAGTCATCAGGCGAAGATAGCTGGGACGTAATTCTTACAATAGCCATCGCCTCTGGCCCAGAAAGATGACGTAGCCAACAATCACATAGCTACACCCGACTTTACCTGGCCACAGCTACAGTAAGACAGAATTACGCATACAACTATCTTCAAAGCGAAAAATCAACCAAAAAAATGGGGGTGATAACTAAGGAAACAAAGAATCACACACCGGAAAACCAGGATATCCGCGAGCTCCTTTGGTGCCCTGAAAATCGAAACTAAAGAGTGCAGAAAACGAAATAAAACTACAGTATTGATACTAGTCACAAGTGGTATTTCCTTTGGCAAGGGGAGTAATCGGAGTGATCGATACGTATCTAAGCAACAAGCAATCGCCTTTGTCTTGATTCGCTTACTCTGAACGCTTCTTTAAGGCGATTGATCTCGTAAAATGCTATTTACAGACTAAATGTGTAATACAAGTAGAACCGTTATAGGTATTTGGCAGGTAAAAGGGGTGGAGCCATGCTTTCCTATTGGTCGACCACAAATTCTAACTACGAAGCGTTCTAAAGATGCCTAGGACTTTGCCATGGATGCAATCAGTCGTACCGGTGGTCCAGGTGGTCCAGGCGATCCACGCAATTGAATCGCCTGTCCGTCCGGTGAATAGAGCATCCCGTATGCGCGAAGTTTCCGTTGAAGTCGTGCATCCAACGGCTACAACACAACATCGATCAATATCCATCACAATACACAGTACAGAATTACGGTAACCACATGGCACACATACATGAGGTGGACTGGCAGTGGTCCTACGACGATAATACCGTCCTGGTGGTCCCTAAAATGTCACAATACAGCGTTACTTCCACAACACATCACGATCTCAAGCACTACTATCTACCACAAAGGTGTGCATTAACCAAGGCTTGGGAGGGAGTTTCTAGAAAGTCCAACTCTTCAGAGAGCTCTTAAAACACTCCAAAAGATGTTTCTAGAAAATTCCATGTAGGGATTAGTGCGTTTGAGGGCTTGGGGTAGTTTGGCATTGTGTAGAGCTCACACTAACTGAAATCAGATACGGTAGGTAACCTACTGGCCATCCATTGTATCCTCTACTACCCTATAAAAGTAACAATCCATACACTTCTCAGGACTATTATATCTGAAATGCGTAAACAAAAACAAGAAGAGAAAATAAATAAAAACAAATGTAAATCGAGAGTAGAACATGAGGAGAAAATGAAATGGCTCATTCCCAAAAGTTGTTCATCGAACTTGAGCCTCGAGGAGCGGCTTCCGATTTTGTCTATCGTAATGAGGCAACAAATAAACACGTAAACAACTAGAATAAACATAACAAGTGGATCTAAGACGAGTCTTTCCATCTCCCTCTGCCCTTTATTTCAAACATACGATTCTTGTTGTAAAGTACTGTGTTAGCAGATGCTCTTACCGGCGGTCCAGGTGGTCCACGTTCTCCTCGAGGGCCTGCAAAAAGGGACGTTTTGTTGGCGTCAAAATGTATTTCATACTAGAAACTGCTGTTTGTTTATGACCAGATGTTTGCATTTTAGTGGGCGAAAGTGTTTTGGAGCATCGTAACCGGCTCAAACAGCTTCAATGGGTTCTAACGTATACAGCCATCAAGTTTTCCTCCTTAACGACTGGGGTATGAGGCCTGGAAAGCTCAGAAGCAAGAGCTTGGAATCAG